CGATTATTAATCTAAAATAACCTGTACACTCTTCACACTGAACTGTATTGAGTGGAACTAAAATTAAACGAATTCTAATCTTCAGCAAACACTTCCAAATTAAATATTTCAACACAGATTTAGAGTAATCTCTAACACCATAAAAACAAAAATGATAACAAAAATTATACAAAATTAACAAGAAGTGAACCAATTAGTTTCGCTCTAAATGGAAATGTATTAAAGATTGTAGCGGAATTACATTAAGTAATTAATGAATGATATACATATATGCACGTAGACTATGGATGATATCAATTAATTAAATGAGAAAATTGATTAAGAAATAATTTGATAAAAGTGAAAAACTAAAAAAGAAAACGATAAAATGTTGACCTCATATTGATTTTGAAAAATGTAATCATATGAGATTAAAAAACAAGGCATTTTTATTACTATTATTATCATGGTTGGCTAATCTAACGATATAACTAATTATGTTTGACATTAGACTAAGAGTCGACTTCTTTTATTTTTAATAAATTGTGCATGCCATTAAACAGATAATACACTTGATGTAATTAATAGTTGCGTGTCTTGATAAATCAAAAATCGTCCTAAGACATTCATTAAAATTCAGTATTCGATTCATGGTTGTTATTAATATAATACAACATATACAACGACTCGATAGAAGCAATCAAAACATGCAACGGTATAGGTTTCCTTTCAAATATAAAAGATTAATTTATATCCACACAAAAATTATGAAAATCAACAATTTCCTGCGTATATTATAGATATAATAGTTTTTTATGTGACAAAATTTCAATAAAAAAAACGTAAGTACATAATACAATACTTCATTTTATAAACATTTAATTTTGAATATACATTATGTTAACAAGAGTGTACTTCGTCTAATACTGTATACATATTTTTATTTTAAATTTATCCCCTATATTTTGGAAAGCACACAAACAAAGATTGTCATTTTTTATATCACGTGACAAAATTAAACAACAAAAAAAATCTAGTCAAATAATAGAAAATTTGTTCACTTTGCGAACAAAGAATTTGTTAACAAGAATGTACCCCATCTAATAGTGTATATGTTTCTATTTTAAATTTATATATTTTAAAGAAGACAAACAGTGTTCAAACAGAGGTTATAGGCTCCCACATGGTTCGTGGAGCCGATTTATTTAATAAATAGAAGGTTCAATACTATTTACAAATACTTGAATTTATTTACAAATATACAGGGTGTTCGGCCACCCCTGGGAAAAATGAAATTAAAAAATTTCAAATCGTTCTAAAAAAATTATTTCTAGGTTCTGGGGTCAAATACAACCATTTTTGGTGATTACACATACACGCGAATTCCTACGCATTTTCGAGAAAAAATTCAGAAAGGTGGACAAATTTTTCGGCGAAAAAAAAATTTCAAATCGTTTTGGAAAAATTATATTCGGTTGCAGGGGTCAATTACAATCATTTTAGGTGAATAGACATACCTCCGAAATCCTGCGCATTTTCGAGACAAAAATTCAGTACGGGCGGAACTTTAAACGTTAATAACTTCTTAACGAAACTTCCATCAACAAATTGTTATTCTTGATTTTCGTCGTATTTTGGCCTCTAGAATCTTCCATTAAAATTTTTCCCAGAAGTGGCCGAACATCCTGTATACATATCTGTTAAATGTTTATGTTTCAATGTTCTAGGTTCGATTCTAATCCTTGGTTCGATTCTAATTTGTAATGGTTCTTGTGGTGTTCTAACTTGCAAAGTGTTATGCCCCGCGATTTTATACCTTTTTCAAAATAGGTGGAGATCGTGTGTCAAACTCCTGCCCATCCCTCGTGGGCCAGTCCTCAGACATTCGAAATCCCACCTACTGAGGGTGGTGCAGGGGTGGGTGTCCGCGGTCCCAAGGGGCAAGTATGGTCCCAAAGTACGGCTTAATAGTACGACAATTTGCTTTGTACCATAAGGCACTTGCCAAATTGCTAATTAAGTAATTTAAACTAATATTAACTAAATGAGGGATCCTGTAATAAGTGTTGGAATTCCCAACAGAGGTTCAAACGTTTTTTAAAAAAAAAAAGGTATGCGTTGCTTGCATCGATTCGTCGTATACGTCGCATTTTTTTACAGGATAGTGACAATTGCAAACGTAAACATACCGATGGTATCGCTGTATGTACGTCTCAATCCCATCGCTAGCGAGTGGGCAGATCGAAATTTAATTGTCCTTGGAGGAACAGTTACGGAACGAGCGAGGCGAGCTAGGATCGAACAGTGAAAGTGGCAAGGGCAAGATGTTCGTGGAGTTAAACGCCCTGGCAGTTGTTCTTACGCTTTAATTTAGCGATTAATCGTCTAATTGCTATCGTTGTGTCGTCGAAGAGCGAACAAATACTCGATTCCGCAGTTATAAATTACTTACGGTCCTCTGCGTTGCTCGAGATGATGTACAGTCCACGATAAAACGAGAACGAATAAAATCCTTGTACAATACTTTTACGATACCATGAATTTAATATCACACACGATATTGTTAAACAAAAATCAAGGATACTAATTTGTTGATCGAGGCTTCGATAAAAAGTTATACAAAACTGAATACTCTTTCTTTATATAATTTGTTTCATCACTTGTTTGCAGTGGTAGCTTTATTAACGAGTTATTTAAACAATGAATTTTATTTGTATGTAATTGTTTTATCTGTTTGCTATTTCTTTATGTTCAAATGCATATAAAAATATATATTTAAGTTTTTTTCGACTTCATTATATGTAGAAAGAAGCATTTGTTTTAATTAATAATTTTCTGTTAAAAATTAAATTTACAATGTATGAATATAACTAACATATCAATGATATGATTTTTTTTCTCTATACACTGTGCAGAATAGGATCTCCTTTGGTTCCGGTACGTAAGCTTGCTGCAACAATGGCGGTCGCGGAATATTGGCGCGGCCCAATCATTTTTCTTTTTTTTTACTGGCAACGTCGCGTCTGCAAGTTGATTCTGTCTCTAGATGCAGATTACAGATGCAGCGAGAGGTTAATCCATGGACACTCAATTTTATATGCTTTTCATGATGTTTTTTTTCCACCCTTTCGTTCCCCTCTCTTTCGCATTAATTACAGTCGTCGTCGTAGAGACCAGACGTATTTCACTCCGACATATTTCATGCAATATTTCCCCCCTCCTCGTTTGCATACCAGAAGGTAAATAAAATAACCGTGCATAATTATCTTTATCGAATAACATCTTGGGAAAGGGGAGGGGGGGGAAAGAATTTTGTTGAAAAGCGTTCCGTTCACAAATACGCGCAAGACAATGACACAATGGCTCCGCGCTTTCGGCCATTGAAACTGTTACCCAGCGTATGTTCGCCGCTACATACTTAACGTGGTTAAAAAGTTTCAGTGCACTTGTGTTTCATAAAGACATCGACCGTAAGATACGCACACAGAGAACTCGGGCACAAAGCATTTGACAAAATAAAATAAAAGTACTGTTTCAGTACCGGGAACACTGGTTGATGTTTCTGATATATAAAGTTCTTTTCAACTTTTGAATAAAATAAACGACACTTGACGGCAAACGTGTTTCGCGTCAATTTCTTAGCATGAAACGTTTCTTTGCACAGCAATGCACGTTATGTGTCTTTCGTTAATATTATATACGGCAAAATGTCGCGAAACTTCGTATCGTTTGTAAATAAATGATGCGTCTCCTTACATTGTAGACTTCAATGCTTCGGTAGTGCGAATACGTGCAAGCATAGAGATAAACTGTTTGGCCATCTATTGACAAATATTGAATGTAACCTTGTCTGAATAATTCAGACATTTGAAATACCGTTGTTCGAAATATTACCTCAAATAATCGTGCAATATATGCAATTATACATATAGAGTGGGCGGTATTGTGGGCGTCTTGACGGATGGGAATATTGTGTTTTCTAGAACCTATGCATCACTATACTATACAGAAATAGCTATTTAATACTTTATAGAGGGTGTTTTCTTAACTTTTGCACAAATTTTTTTGGAGCACTTCTGTTAATCTGACAAAAGAATATTTCGAACATAAGTTTATCGATTTTATCAAAATTATTATTTTTTCAATAAAAAACCGAGGTCACCTTTATTTCTTTAAACGGCATTGCATATTTTTTACTTTATGTTGTTGGAGTTAGTGCCAAGATGAATTCAACGACCTGCTATACCGTAACCTTCAGCAGAAACGATCGAAGGTGAAAATTGCTTTATTTTAAGACACATTGATCATGAAATTGATAAGTTTATTACATAAAATTGTCGTTACGTAAATTCAACGAAAATAAAGCTATTAGGTCTAGATAATGGAGTGCATAATAACTCATAATAATACGTGTATCGTTTTTGTTCAAGGTCATCAGAAGGTCACGACATAGCAAGTCGTTGAATTCGTCTTGGCATGCATTACAATAATATGAAATTGAAAATAAGCAATACCATTTAAAAGAATTAAGATGACCTTGATTTTTTATTGAAAAAATAATAAAATAATTTAAAAAATTTAAGTAAGTAATTTAATTTAAGTTAGTAACATCGAATGTCTGTGAAAATATTAGTATCGAGTAAAATATTGCACGTTTGCTTTAGAGAATCCCAAAAAGAATCGAAACATTGTAATTTACAAAACTCGCGTAATACAAGTTTGAACTCCCTGTAAACCATCTATATACACCCACTGCTTCACAAATTATTTAATTTATCCATCAAACGACGAATGCACTTATCTTTTTACTAAAAACAAAACACAGCAAATGTTACCTGCCAAACAGTGTATACCAAAGATTGTAACTTACAAAGCTCACGTAATACAAGTTTGGCTCCAACATTTCTGAACTCCCTGTAAACCATTTGTATACACCCATCGTTTCTCAAATTATTTAATTTATCCATCAAACGATGAAAGCACTTATTCGTTCACTAAAAACAAAGAACAACAAATGTTACCTGCCGAACAAAGGATGCCAGAGCTGCGAGTCGTCCGGCGAGCTAGCAGTGGAGCTAACTTCCGGTTCCTGCTTGAGCAATCCGCTCCTCACCCTGAGCAACGGTGGATAAGGACTGGTACGCCGACTGCTGGACAGATCGATGGGCGCCGGCATCAGAGTGCCGATCGGTTTGCAGCTGAGTTTGGGCCTCGTTTGCGAGGCGTTTCTCGTTCCGTTGTTCGCGTGACCGGACCCTTTGTTAGTGCCGTTGTTGATTCTGGTATGAGACTGTCGTGACCTGGCGACTGGGCCTTCGCCGTGGTCGAGGACGTGCTGGAGATGTGCCAGGGATATCACCAATAAATCTGGATCTCTGAGCAGATCCGGTCTGTTCAGCGCCTCCGGTAGTCTGAGCTCCGGCCTGGACGCCAGCAGTTTCGGAATTTCGGTCGCTGGGGCGGCCGCGAGCCCTGGCAAGTAATCCCTGGGCACCAGCAAGGGATCTGGTATCAGGTGACCGGACGTCTCGATCAATTCTCGTAGTTGACTAGCAGGATCGAGCAGCTTGTCGGTGGTGCTGGACGTGGCGCAAGGTTCCTCCGACCCTCGATGCTTGCCGGAGGATTTCTGACAAGTCGATTGGTTCTTTTGTCTACCGGTGGACCATTCGGCGGACATTGGTCTCTTGTGGGCGGCGCGATCACTCGCGAAGTACGTGCTGTGGATGTCGCCGCTGGACATCGGTCTGCCCGAGTTTCTCTCCTGGCTGTGAACGCTCGATCGCTCCTGAAAGCCTCTGTACCCCTTTCGAGCGCTGGTCCTTTCGACGTCTTTGGTGTACTCTGGCCGAACCGTACGGTGCTCGCTGGGCATCTGATCGCAACGACTCGATATCTCTTTCTGTTTCTCGTAGTCCCTCGCCTCCAATTGATTCGGCGACGACAGGATGCTTTTCAAGGTCAAATCACTTTTCGCGTCCTCCGAACAAGACACGGAGCACGGAGGACTCGGCAGCAGTCTCTCGAGGTACGCGGACGAGGGTCTCCTGGAAGCTGGGGAACACGGAATTCCACTCGGCTGCGGCGACACGACCGTACCGCGAGTCCTGAGCTCCTCGAGGACCTGCTCGTCAAAGTGTTCTACATCCTGATATTTGCATTTCGCTTGAGCCTCGCTGTTCTTGCTCGAGCTGATCCCGTGGGCCTGATTTTTCGCGCACTCCATAGGAGTTTTCCGACCCTCGGAATTTCCGGTATTTTGCTTGTGGAAATAATCTCGGTCGGGCTCGCACGCCAACGAGTCCGCTTTCTGTCGTCTCAGGTCCTCCAGCACTTGCGAATCACAGTCGTCCTCGTCCTCCTCCAACTCCCTCTCGTCGTCCTCCTCGTGAGGGAATCTGTCCAGTCTCGACTCGTCCGCGTAAACTTCGTTTTTGGAAAAGTTCACGGTGCTCTCGGGCGATTCTACGCGAGCTTTCGTGCTCGAGGAGATCGAATGAGTCACCGTATGAGGATTTCGGTATCTGTAACTGGGTATAATGATCGAGAGACCGGGCAGATTTTTCGGAGAGGCTTTTTGCGTTTCCGTGGCGGAGTCTGCGTTTTTCAGCAGCCTCTCCGCGCACTCTGCTTGGGAATCCGGCGATCTGCTCGACGACGACGCCTTCGAGGCTGGCCTCGTCGCAGGTATCACGATGTTTTTCATACCTTCGGGCGTATGAGTTCTCGTTATAGAGACGGAGAGTCCGGGTGTGTTCCTCAGAGCGTTCAGAATCTTCGAACTGTCGTTGTAATCTATTTTGATGGGATCTCCGGGTTCGTCGGGTCGTTCTTCTTCCGCTTCCAAGGGAGTATCCTCGAACATCGCGTTCTGATACTTGGAATGAGATTTACACTTTGCTCGGTGCGCAAGGCCACCGTCCGCCTCGGCGATCTTGCACAATTTCTCCGCGTGACTCTTTATGGAAACGATAACGACGTCTTCTTTCGCTCGAGGACTCTTCTCTTCCTCGTTCTCCGTATCGTAGTTCCCAAGAATCTTTTCCTCGTGTATCTCTATTTTATCCTCAGCGAGGACGTCGTTGGCTTTAACGTTGTCCTCGTGTCCGTAACTGGAGATCGAATTTGCCTTCGAGTTTAGGACCGTGGAACCGGAATCTTTGATTCTGCTATCCTCTTCGAGAACCTCGTAGGTTTTCGTCGAATCGACGGGCAGATCGGCGCTAGGCGTATCGGTGGCTAGAACCGGCGACGCTGTTGCGTTTATCATGTTCAATATGTCTTGAATGCCCGCCTTGTTCATGCGTCTCCTTTTCTCGCTATCCGGCTTCTTTTCGCCGGCGATAATATCATCCTCGTTCTGCCCCTTCTCGTCGTTTCCTTGACTCTGAAGGACATTCTGATGAACGCCCTCGGGCAATTGAGAAAAGTGTAGCTGCTCCAGCACCACTCGCGGCTGAAACAGCTTGTCTTTCTGCAGCCTTTCGAGATTATTTCTTCCGTTGCACCTCGCAAACTCTTTCTCGAACCTATTTTCTTCCATTTCGTCTTCTTCCTCTTCGTCGTCCTCGTCGTCGGAACAGGACGCCTCTTGTTGTTCCTCGTCCAAAGGAAACCTGTAACTCCTATCGATCTCGTCGTAATTTCTCTTCCTTCCAACACCGTCCCTGGTGACCAAACCATTGGTCCGTCCATTTGTCGATTCTTTCGTATCGACACGTTGCCGATTCCCGATCTCTTTTTCGTCGTTTGTGTCGGACGAATTCGAAGAGTTCGCGCCGCTCGATTTTTGGGAACCACCCAGACCGGTCGAGTACATGTTCGACGCCGTACGCGGTATCGAACGCCATCCTTGCGCCGTCTTCGTCAGCTTTATTCGATTCCTCTTGTCGTAATCCTCGCATCTCACTTCAACGATTCTCTGCTCCCGCTGCGAGGCCCACAGAAATATTGGATTCACTTTCGGCCGTTTCTCTTCCGGCTCCTCCGATCGCTCTTCCCTAGGCTGCTTCTGATGTTTCTGATGATGGTGATGATGATGATGACGTCTTTGACGACGGGGCGCTGTGCCCCGTGCAGGGGCCCCGCTCATCACTCCATCCAACGAGCTGTTATTACTCTGCCACTCGTCCACCGAGACTGCTTCTTCTGGCAGCGAATCGTATCCCTCTACGCGTTCTTAAGAATCTCTTCGTACGGTCTCGTTATCCTCGAAACTATCCTCTCTACGCAAAGGCTAAAACTTGGTTACCTGTAACGCGATCGATTACATTCCCCGTACCTTGAGATATTCCTCTAACCGGAGAGATCGGAGCCCGATCTCGACTCACCCGGAAGTTAATTTCTCGCAGTTCGTCAACAAACGAGCCAGTTTCGAGCAACCGACGATCGATCTCAAGGGCATTGACATTGTTGACCCAGCACTTCCGCGAGTCAGATGCACCGGACACACACGCTTCTCCTCTTCCTCTCCTCTTCCGTCGTCGTTGCTCGAGGTCCACGAGTTCGTCGACACTGCCCAAAGAGGTTAGCGGTTCCGTAGATAATTCCGCGGTCGTCAAGGTGGTTCACCGATACCGTAGGTCGTCGACGTTCATCCGGCTATCGAACCGTGACACTTGGGAGAGCAACGGGACGACGATCACGACACGCGTACGTCGATTTTCATCGTTCGGGCATCCACGACGTCGATTTGCATCGAGCTTGCGGCGTCGACTCCGTCGAGCTTACGGCTGGCAGCACTGAGTATGTTCGACCCATCGAGCTTCTCTCGAACCGTTCGCTGGCACTCTCCGTCTCTCTCTACTTACGTGGTGGTTGGGACGAGTCTCACCCCGAATCTTCCGCCGCGAAATTCTTTTAATCCTTTCCCCGCTGTACCCGATGTTTCTTTTTGTTTTCTCCCCCCCCACCCACCCCCCCCCCGTCACTCGACCCGGTTGTACCGCGACGTTCGTTTACAGCCGGAGTGTCCACCGACAGTAGAACCTCCGCGAGCACTGGTTTCTATCCTCGACCCTGCGCGAATCGTCGACGATAGAACCGCGGTTGTCCAACAATTGTCACCGATGACATAACACTGCGAGATCTGTTCACCGGTTACATGTTGTTACGCGCGGAGTCACTGTCTGGGAGCTACTGTCGGCGCCTCCTAGTTGCCTTCCACTTCGTCGCCGCCGCCCCCGCTCCACGGAATCGCAAGCCAGGATCGGAACTATCGGCGGCGCCCGAGCTTTAACGACGCCTTCGTCCTTGTCGTTTTTTACCGCCGTTGGTCGAAAATAATTGTTCGTATTCTAACGACGATCATTTTGATAGAATATCAGAGACAATATCGGTCTTACAAAAAATTGTGAGCTCAACGATAAAATTCAAGAACCAAGAAACGTAATATTATGTACAAAGTTTATTTCTATATGTAAACAGAGAAACTAAAATGTGCTATATTTATATGAATTTTAATTCAGTTCCTTTAGCTTCATAAATTGATTAGAAAAAAAACTGTGAACGATAAAAGGAAATTGTAAGCCTAGAAATTAACGAACATAATGGAACGTTACTTGTTATTTACGATGTTTATGTCCATATCTAAACAGAGAAACTGAAATGTACTGTAGATTTCATATTTATATAAATTTTAATTTAGTTTCTTTAGCTTTCTAAACTTATTCTAAAAAACTGTGCATTAACAAACATAATACATTACTTATTATTAACAAAGTTTACGTCTATTTGGAAATAGAGTAAAACCTAAATTTGTTTATTGTTATATGCAGCGAGTGTTTATATACCATTATTTATTTCTAACTTCCAATATACTTTAACTTTATAAACACATTCTATTCCTATTAACTCTAAAACTTTTTTTAGCAGTCTCTTGACCCTTTTGCAATCATACAATCAACAAAATCATTTATTTTTTCTCCACTATTAGCAGTGTCTTCAAATGACTCCAAAAAGAAAATATATACATGTATTTAAGATTGATAGTGTCTATTTTGAAAAATGTACAAGTTATTAAGTCTAACTTGAGTTTTCTTTTTGGTTTTGTTCACCCTTCAGTTTCTTGCGATTAATTTATTCCTTGGATCAATTTAAACACCTAGATATTTATCTTGAAAATAAATCAAGACTATATGAATATTTCGTGATTTTCGAAAGATTTATTTTGACCTAAAGCAAAGTAAAACACATGTGCACTTATTTATTAAGTTTTCAGAAATCTTCTTGCATCAGAACAAAATTTATAAAATAAGGTTGCAAACAGTCTTTATGGGCATTCAAATTTTATTTATAATATTCTATTGATCAATACAGCAGACCCAGCTTATTCGATGATAAATTATTCTATAGCCATGGGCAACAATTTTTTAAATCAGAATCAGAATTGTAGAACAAAATATTTTAGAATCAACAGATAAATTTAGTTATTTGATTGAATAAATATCAAGAACAAATCGACATACGTTTGTTTTATTGATTACCTATTATGCCCAATAAAATGATTTCCAAACTCTGCTATTTTTTGAGCAATTAAAAAATTTAAAAAACGTTTATAAAAATAAAATCTTGTAGGAATAAAATTCTTAATAGATGACTAATATGTCAACGATAACACTGTATTCTAATACTAATATTTCCATTTGAAATTACCTGTCACATACATTTAACTTCTTATTTTATAGCTACAGTATTAAACACCGTTATCGAAACTGCAACGAAAGACTTTTCATCAAACGATTGACTTGAATTTGATGCTCGATTCTTTTAAGTAATTCTGTCGTCGTAATGGATATTGTAATTTTATGCCTTGTAACTACATTATACGAGTTTATTTATGCATGCAGCGTAGATAAATGCGTCTCAAGTTATTTATACAGTAAATTAAGTATCCACATTTTTAACGCTAGATTCGCTACTTAAAATCCTTTACGTGGAAATGCGATAGTATCATGTTACGGAAACAATTAATAAACAAACATCCTTTTTCAAATACCATTATCTGTTATTTAAATAAATATTTCGAGTCTACCACGTCCTTATATTTTAAATTTACAAATATAGTCACTTTCTTATTCGATTATATATTTCTATGGTTTTCTACAAATACGACTTCACACGGATCTCACTTCTGACCATTAACTGGCCAGAATAAGGAATCTAAGAGCACAAATGGTATTCGTAAATATTAATATTTCGTTCGATTGCGTCGAAGTAGAATTTCGAAATTTCAAGGAGCGAACGTAGGGCGACAAAATGGCTAGCGCCGGCACTGTGCGTTCCTACCCCTCGCCCCGAGATAGCCAGCTCGCGACCGGAGCACCGACCATGGAGAGAGACCGAACGAACAACAGACGAAGACGGAACGACGGGGAAGAGAATGGGATAACCTGCGAATATATACAGGTATACTGAGTGTACCGAAGGTAACTTCGATTGCAATGGTATCAACGATATTACCAGCGTTAACACCGGGCAAATTTGGCCGATTTAGCCGCGCCTTATTAACGACCTTTCTTCCAGCGAACGTTGTTCGCGTTAACCTCTGTCGCGTGAAATCGCACGAATCGCCGTTTCAGTCGTCGTGACTCTCCTACTTACTACTTTCGCGATCGCTCGAGCCACGATTCCATCAAACCAACGAAAACGGTTACCGTCAACTATTTTCGGTTCTGTATCAATTATCGATTCGAAGCTACTCGAACTTGAGCCGGGCACTTGAAAAGCTCCAAATTCGAGCAATTAATATATTTTCCTGGCCGCTCGCGTAAACGGTAAAGAGAAAATAAAAAGAATCTTGGTATTTTTTTCGACGAGAGATTTATCCGTGTCCCCGACGAGGAACTAGTTTTCGATAAACGAGCACCTCCTTGTTAAGTGGCTCCGCGAAGGGGGCCGAAATCGTAGTCACCCTATATCCCCGCTCGAGTGGGACAGAGAGATCCGTTCGAAGCGTGACAGAGAGAACCGACCGCGATGAGGGAGCGGTGGGACAGAGAGAGAGAAATATTTTTATTAAAAGGAGGGAGGCGACCTAATGGAGGGAGAGAGAGAAACGCACGGAGCAGTACACCGTGTCGGATGCTGATGCTGCATTAAGCCCCGTTTGCACTTCCGCCCTTCCATTCGCGAGCTTCGATCCTGCGGTACGGCGCGGATTGTTTCGGAACGATTGCAATTCTACAATCACACTCTGTACGAAATTTCTACAAAAGCCTAAAATGTTAAGAATTAATTACAGAATAATAGAAAATCGAAAACCAATATATAGAAGTGCGATGTATTTATACCTATTTATATGTACAGTATGAATGATAGATATTCAATAATAAAAAAGGATCAGAGGTAGATTATTAGAATAAACATTTCTTTAATAAAATAGCAGAGAACTAAAGAGCAAGGTTTTTTTTATAAATTTATCGTTATAAAGCATGTTTTGTATTATGATTTTTGAAGAAAGGTAACCTATTGAAAAAGATAACTAACACAATTAAGGTTTGTTCTAAATCAGACAAAATGGCTTTCGAATTATTCAGAAATCGAAAATGGCACTTATTTAAATATTATTTAATGTTATACTCAGTTTGTAATACTCTTTGATATTATGCAAAGTTTTAATGCATTTTTCCTCCTCTAATTAGTAATTGTTTCCATATGCCAATCATTTTAACTGGTCTGGTAGAAATAAGTGTACGTTAAACATTGATAATTCTAGTGTTAAATTTGCTGCGCTCCTTGGCCGTAACGTTACAGTTTGTACACTTTTACAATACGCACTCGCATGGCGATTCTTCGCGGAATAAGTACGGACTTCCGTATCTCATAGAATCACACACATTTATAATTTTCTTTGCAAAATTACACGTGTACATCCAGGTAATTCGTTACTGGATCTGAATTTATAAGAACTCGAAACTAATTAGCTTGAGTAGCCTTTTTCTTTCATGTCGTGTTTCGTGAAAGGTACATGTTATTATTATGAAAATATATTTATACTTTTGTTATTCTCTATAAGAAATGTTCACGAATTTAGACGCTTGAACTGTGAAACTCGGACGGGAAAATATTATAAAAATATAAAAAACAAGAATAACCATCCTGTTAATATTTAAGTTTAATTTAATTTATGAATTAACAGCCTGTGTTATAAGTATTATTTGTACGATTATAATGACTTTCAAGAGTTAATTTGTATGCGTATACATATATCAAGAATGGAAAGTTATTGAAGTCTTACTTCTTTGGTATTATTTTTAAATACTGATATCATTTGTATTAATATGTACAAATTGCTATATCAATGATATCAATGCCATATAGAACGAGTAGATAACAGTATTATTACACACGTATTAAATATAGTAAACACCATTTAATCTATGTAAGATAATAAATGAATTAGCCTTACATAATTTTGTTTGTAATTGATGTAACTGATTATTAATAAAATTATACTTTATTCCTTGCAATTTATGCTATCGATTCCCTGTTGTATCCAACATTATTATAAAGAACGAATACTTTTCCAAGCAGTAATGAAATGAATGTCAAACATAAGCCAATTTTTTGATTATTTAACCTCGATCATAAAAATATGAAACTGAAAGTGTTACGAGCGACCATCTATTTCCAACACCTTTTATAATTAGTATCATTTAGTTTTGTTTAATTGTAATTACACATATATATAGAAATCAAATTTGAATTTTTTGTGTTAATATGTTTCCAAAATACACGTTCTTGATAACAAATTAAAACTTTAAGGAGGAATTCTTATTAGAAATATTTAAAAATGAGTTTATAAAAATTTAAATTAAATATTCAAAAGGGAAATATGTTCTGTGAATTTTATACCGATATACAGGGTGTTCGGCCACCTCTAGC